AAACAAAAAATGTGTATGGTTCAAGCTCGAATCTCTCACCGTTTTCGAGATAATTAACATTAACACTCCTAGTGATGTTTTGAATTAACCCAATATGACCATTTTTAAAGTGGGCCACGAACAACGGTTCGGTTTTTTTGGAACGGACTTTCAAAAACCGTTTGGAAAAACCGATTAAATCACATAACATAATCCATAGTTGATTAGGAATCTGGACTCTAATATTTATTCAAAGTTGCCGTTACAATGAAAGGTTAATCGACCGAGAGCATTCGAGCGAAATTTGCATATTTTATCGAAACTCCTTTAGCATCTTCCGATTCGACATGCCGGCACGTCTGTAACAGATATATTTTCAATATAAATATAAAATGAATCGAATATTAAATTGAATATGAAAATGCCAACAAGATGTAGATGAGTGTGTATCAGTTACTGGCGCTGAGAGCTTTGCATATTGATTAAGAATTTAAAGTGATGAAAAGTTAAAATTTCTAATTTAGAGCTAAGCGTTAAACGGTGTTATTTGTTTAATGCATGATTTGAAACACTGAAATAAATATTTTACTGAGTTGGTTTTTTCAGTGTTTATCAATTTGGAGCTTTAAGGGAAACACTAAAACACAAACATGCAAATACTGCGACAGCACACAAACCTAATTCTTTAGAATCAAATTTGCTCAGCGTCGAACTAATTCGTTTAAAGCGGGCCTGAATTTTCCACAAAACTAACTTTAATTTCGGAATATGTTTGCGTCCGTACATGACGGAAATGTATGTTTCTAGTACATTAAAAACACGGTGTGTGTGTTTGCGCGCTTACTTACGTGTGTGTATATTCAAAGGCATGGGTCTCTCTCGGTGCTCCTGTTTTCCCCAAATATTTATTTGAGATGTTTCCTCCAGCTCTTAAATAAATTAAATTTTCACTTAAGTTATTGTCTACAACCGAAATTCATTGCAGAGTGCCGTTGCTTGGTATGGCTATAGGAGAAATAGCGGATGGAGCTTAAGCAGCTCTGTTAATTTATAATGGGACTTGTCTATTTTGCACTTAGTTTATCTGGAATATGTGAACGCAGTTTCCTTATACTGTGTGTTACGAGGAAAGTTTAAAAAATACGTTCATTGGGTTATTTTTCGAATATTTTCGCGTGTGTAGATTCACAAAAAAATCACAGTGTCAATTTTTGTTGGCAATTTTCTTCAAACCCTCAAAAATTGATTCAAATCACGTGAAATCCTGAATTTTGTGTAATTTGTAAAATCAACGCTTTTACGCAACTGCATACTCTTCAATTAAAAATTCCAACTTCTAAAGTAAAGCCAGAAGAAACTTCTTCATTTCATTCGTTACTTCGCTGGCCCTACGCAAGGAAATGTATTTAATACAGCAGGAAATCTGTCCAAATCCAAACTTATTTCAACAGCAAAGCATAAGGAGAGAAATATAAAGAATCCATCAAACTTCAGTTGCTTGTCTGAAAACTAAATTCAGTTGAAGCTAAAATATTCATAGATTAGTGATCATTCTTACCAGCTTTCTGCAAGCTGGCGCCCCATCCTCCAGTTGCTACCCATTAATCCTCAAGTTCAACAGATTTTCACAAACTACCGCACTTACCATAAGGGCCTCCCCATCTAAGAACACAAATGATTCCCCATCTAAGAACACGATTCACACGACATTAATTTTTTGACAAATTTTTATTAAATTTTTTGTCTGAATTTCACGCAACTGCATTCATTAATGCACAACGCCAACACTAAAATTAATAAGGAAATTAATTTTGTATTTGTAAAAATATTGTCTAACCAAAAAAACCCGCGAAGAAATTATTTAAAAATGAAACGGTTGCACAATTTCCCAGTGATGATAGAAACGAAATTTTACCCAGTGAGAAACATTCAGAGCATTCAACTGAAAAACTGAATAATTTCAGTGCTCCCTAAGGATAAAAGTTTTTTGCTAATCTCATTTTACATTCATTCTGTGATCATCGGAACTAAGGCAAACTAAACGGCATTGATCATACAATGGCATCTGATGCAGATAAACAAATTCAACCTTTCGATAAATAATTCAGTTCGTGTCGTTTATCGAATAAGAATTCCTCCATGCTTTAGTGTGAATTACATGATCATTTCCTAAAGCTTCGGTGTGTTGGTCACGGACTAACTCGCTTACCGAGATTGAGTTTAAACATTTATTATTGTTGTGTCGCACAAGTGTTGTGCCCGGAATTTCGATCCGACATCCCCTAAATAAATAATCACCGGCTACAAGTCTCAACTCTCCCGGCCGTAAGCTGCTTATTTGAAAAACCTGCGGAATCCATTCATTTTTCATTTGGCCTTATCGTTTTTGTATTTTATTTTTCTTTTAGTGTGTCTTTTAATTTTTCATTGCTCTAAGTGAATTAATCACTGCAATCACTTTGACCTGTTTATTCGGAGCCAAACTTTCATATTTTATTAGCTGGAGCTGTACAGAAGTTTCCAGGTGTTGCACTTTGCAAGGTGCTAGAAAGGCGACAGAACAAACATGCTATTACCGTTCCAGAATCTTCCAAAGCTTTTGCGTATCATTCATTTTTAATGGAGTTTTGGATTGAAAAATGTGCAGCTTGATCGGGAGCAAGCTCCAACTCATTAAAATTGATAAAATATAACGCCCTCCCCCCCCAACTATGAAACAAGCCATGACGAGTTTGAATTTGAGCGATTTTATGGAGCTCCCATTCGATCGTATCGTAAGTGAGCGGGAACGAAACCAAGTCCAGAATTCCGCTCCAAATCCATAACTCGGAGTAATTGAGGAGCGGGAGTTTCAGTAAAATCGCCAGGCGATTAAACAGTCCATTTCCTGAACACCCGATGACATTAAAATTCAATTGGGACGAACCGTAGTGTAAAACTGACTGAAGCCGCCCTCTTTATATGCAGGGGCGGGCCCTTTCGAGGAACTGTTGATTTCGGATCTGTTTTATTACGAACAGTTCAGATCCGATCGGGTTCATATTTGCATTCATTTCTGTGCTTGAAATATGCGAGTTTTGTTTCACATGCCTACTGGTTTTCATAGTACAGAAGCGTTTTTTAGGGGGCAAGAAAATTTAACTCAAGTCAATCTTAACTGAACTTTCTTCGGCCAAAATCAGTCCTAAAAGGTAAACTTGGGTATGACTTTTTTTTCTTCCTGCGATTTGAGTTTTCATTGTTCACTTCTTCTTCTGGGAAGATCAAGCCTGCGAATTTCAGTAGAAAGGTACAGGATTTTGAGTAAATTTGGGGGTTTTTCGGTGTAATAAGTTGATGCGTTGTGGTTTTACGAGGCGGATTTCACTTCGCCTGTCTGAACCGATCCATAAAATTGACGTTGGAGGATTTTCGACAAGTGAAAATAAACGCTAAAACCTTTTAAAGTCGGTGGTCCACTCAATATCTTTTCTCTGACTAATGCAGAACCCGTGTAGGGACTGGGAAAATCGCCTTTAGGGCCGCCGGAACATCTCCGAGACATCGGAAAATGCCATTCCTTGGAAGTGTCACGAGCTTTGAGGTTTAAAGCTTTCCGTAATCGCGTGACGTATTGTGACGCCCTAATGCAGCTTAACTAGTTGGGAGTGAGAGCGTCTTAATTTCGAATGAATTCAGTTTGACGTTCGAGTACTGCTCAAACTTGATTAATTCATTACCGCATTGGTATTTGCAATTGGTAATTGAATATTCAGGTCTTCTTCATCGACTTCGAACGTTGTTGGGCCGCCGTGAACAAGCAAAAAACCTTTCCGATGGCGAAATACATTTTTGCTCTCGTTGTTCCCATTTTGAAGATCGGGCTTTATTTAAGTTTCCATTATTAAATTGTATTGCGCAAAATTGTAAGTTTGCATTTTCAATTCCGTCCTGCGATACTTCAACGCGCTAGAAATAATGAAACGGAACGACTTTTCAGAGGCAAAATGCTAAATCCTTCTCGCGAAATAATTTCAGTCGCATCCCAGATTTAATGGTGAGGAATTTCGAATGGGAAACCTTTAAACTATATTGCAGTTTATTTGAATTAGCCAGACAATGAAATATTGATATGCCCATTTGTTGTTCTTAATGCACGGATTTTGTATGGAGCTTTTGTTTGGTTAAAAAAGTCACGTTTTTTTCTCGTGGTTTTTTAAATATCGACTACTGAAGGTTCAATTCAAAGCCTGTAACTTTTATGAAAGGTGTTTCTAAATTGACCTCTCAGTGAGAACAGAAGGGTAAAAAGGTGAAATTTATTAAAAATTCTGTGGTGTGTTTTTTGGAAAAACGCTTGGAGCTGTAAATTTCCATATCCAAATGCGGGTTTTTTATAAAGAATTGTTTTTCACAGGGTGAGAAAATAATAGATACATTCGTTTGCGTATGCCAGTTTAATTCTGCTGTCAGTTTTACTCTTGCGAGTTTCCAAACGGTGAAGTTAACGAAAAATCAGAAAAACATTCTTCGAAATCCTCTGCACTGTTTGGTTTGGTGGCGCCCATATCTTAAAAGATGGTGAGAAGAATAGAAGCTAAATTTGTAGAAGTTGCTCGTGTAAGAAATTTGCATAAATCCGGACGTTCTGCTCGAGATCAGGAAGAAAAACCTGTTGTTTAACATAATTTGCAACTAAATCCATGACCAATTTACCCATGCAGAAATCTGTTGTTCACCGAATAGTCCGAAAGCACCAAAAACACCCCTACAAAGTTATTCCAGTGCAAGAATTATTCGACTATGATTCTGATAGGCGCAATGAGTTTTTGGRAAGCAATTTWTGCAAATRAAAAATTGGCGTATYTGAGTTTTTTTCTCTAAAACAACACATCGAATTTCAAATGAGTTTAAACATTATTTCTGGGGCTCATTGCATAAGAYAGTAAAAAGTATCCAGAAAATGCCAATTTGCAATCCTACTTCAATGCTGCGATTTGCTGTTTGCACTAAGTTTAAAAAGGTGTTTTTCGTTGTTGCAGATGTGAATATGGTAGCAGAACCCAAACCCCACCAAACCGGAAGAAAACGGCAGAATATGACGAAAACTGGAAACGACTGGTGAGTAACGTTTTTCACAACTTAACAACTTAACAACTTAAATCGTCACTCCTGAACACTCACTCTTTGGCTATAAATCTGATATTGTGTTAATTCGTGTCAGTTGTATCAACATCGATCACCATTTGAACCCCGAAAGTTTCATCAAATAAATAACTGTGATAACATTTCAATTCGGGTAGTGTTTTCTGGGCCACCTGCGGCCCCGCCGTTTCCCGGCAATCCAAAGAGTATTTGGCTGATTAATCCTTTTCAAATATTTATAAGCAATTATCCATCAACAACAGTGGGTCGCTGTTGCAAGCTAAAAGCGATTGGAAATGGATTGATTCCGGAAGTGAAACTGTCTGACCGGTGAAGCAAATTGCAAATGCGTTATGCCAATAGGGGTGTTTTTCCTAACCCAGCAACCTGCACATATGAAGAATATGTAATTATTTTATCCAAAATGTGCGAATAATTTCCGCGTTCAAACATGCCTAAAACGAATTTTCCAGATTGAAATCCATCAGGCCAAAACGGTGAGATGATAAATGGCATTTAGTGGCTAATATGACTTTAAGTAAAAACAATTTAGGCGCCGAAGATTAAGAATATCCAGGATAAACAAGGACGCGCAAGCGAGGCGGCGATAATCTCATCAAAAACCTATTATACTGCTTGCTTTGTCCCTACTTTGCCGGAATTACTTAGGGCAACAAGTATCAGCCGAATAAATAACAAAAGCCCAATTGCGACAGGGATTATAAGGGCAATTATAGTCGAATTGTGTCGTTCATTTTTAATATGCGCAGCTTAGCTCGAACGTTTTTGACGACATTGAGCTTAAGTTGTTCAATTCCAACAACAAAATCAAATTGGATTTTTGATGATTTATTATTCTGATGCGCAACAGATTGGTTTGCAATGAAATTAATTTTGAAGCGAAAAAGACTCTACAAGTTCAGAATTGTGTGTTCAGTAGAAAAGAGTGCGCTCTAAATATTGTCAAAATTTCATTCATTGTTAATGCTTATACTGTGAACAAACTGTTGCGGAACACATTTTACAATGAGTTTTGCGAAAATAAATTTCTCAGAAGCGAAAAATACTCAAAGTTCAGACTTTTGTGAGTTCAGTAAATAAGAGTGCGCTATAAATGTTGTCAAAATTTCTTAAAACCTTCAAAAATTGATTCAAGTCACATGAAATCCTGAATTTTGTGGAATTTAAGCCAGTAGAAACATTTTTTCATGAAATTTTGGCGTAAACTTGCACCTAAATGTCTGATACTCAAATTTCTGGTGACTGTTTGTGACAAATCCAATTTTACCAGTACCACCCAATCAGACCAATCCAGAATTTACTCACGCAAGTTACCATAACTGAATCGAATTCCATATCCAATGATATAAACACGAACTATGTGGCTCAAATGGTCCTTCACCCGCGTCAAAAAAGGCGGCCTCACGTTTCAGTCAATTTTGTAATTAAAAAAATAGGCAAAACTGAAACTCTTGAGTATTTTTAACGAAAACATTCCAGCCAAACTTATTTGAAATCAGCAAAGCAAGAGGAGAGAAATATAAAGAGTCCATAAAACTTCAGGTCAGCTGGCGTCCTATCCTCCATTTTCTACCCATAAATCCACTACAACAAACAAACTACGTCGACCGATTTCGTCCATTGTCAGTAGATGAGATGATGATGTCGGTAGCAAGATAAATATTTATACATCTTTCCGAGAAAAAAATACTCCGAACTATAGACTGTTTAATTATTTGCTTGTTTGGCCTTTCGATGATTCATTTCTTTACTTGGCTGTTCGATTTTAGTTTGTTTATTGTTAGAGATTATTTAAGAAATTACTTTGCACCTAAACACGAAAAACTCGCCCGTTTCAGTTGTCTATTAGTTCAATCGATTGCAACTCGAACTGGACTCTTGAACTCTTGGCTAGATTTACGCTCTTTAGCCAAAAACAAACAAAAAATGCCGAACAAAATTCGCAAATCGTTTGCCGGATAAGGCAAAATATTCAATTTCAACGTTAAACGTTCAATGAACACCAGCAGAAAGACATTGGAACGTGGCACAGCGATCTTTTTAAGCGGTTTTTTTGTGCTCAAGCAAATAGAAAACTTTGAACCGAAACGACGCCCCGATTAGAATGGAAACAAAACGTACTAATTTGCATTTACCCGCAGCGAAAACGGCTAGTAATTCTGGAAAATGTGTTAAGGGCGAATTATGCGGATATACGATTTATGGTTGATTGATTGTTTTAGTTGTTGCACGATACGGCTTCACACTTGCTTTAATTAGCCTTTTAGAGGATCGTATTCAAATAATTCCTGATTAGTTGAATAATTGCATCTGTTGCAATTACTGATCCATAATTGCTTTCACGGCAACATTAAGTGAACTTTTGCGCAATCATGTAGGCGTCACACTTTTGCCTTAATTTGCCAACAGTTAATCTACATACATATGGGAAAACAAAGTTTTGCATAAGTGATTTAGTGCCTTTGTGGCCGCAGCGCTCCCAATAGATGCAGCTATCACGTGAGCGCATTGCCCTTAAAACCTTTGTGCTGAATAAACTTGAAGAATGTCAATAACTATTAACCTAAGCCTGTGTGGCTGATACGATTAGGTGAGAGGGAATGAGGCCAACTTCCAGCCACTTCCCAGAAGTGTGCTAAGAACCGGACGTGATCACTTAGCGGAAACAGTCTGCTCGAAACTTGTTTAGAGTTGTGGTCTTCGGAAATCATTCGCCAGCTGCTAAATTGACCAGCAATTTTCGCGATATGGTTTGAAATCCTTTTCGGCCCGATGCGATAAAAACTTTTTTTGACTCTTTTAAAAATTGCCTACCAAAATACCCACCGTATACTTCAATGACTTCTGAAGAGGCCAGTAGCTCATGCTACTGAACACGTTTGCATGGGCGTTGGTAGAGATTTCGAAATGCGATCCAACCGGGTTTTGCCAGCAAAAAATCACCACCTTTTTACATTGAAGGTTCAATTATTCTTAGTCGAAAATTTCCTCTAAGGCAAACAACTGATCTAAGTTTCAAAATCGTTCCATTTCTATGCTATCGGGATAAAAATGGATTTGCTATTATTTTCACTTTTCGACTGCTTAAGTCCCTTAACAGTCACTTGAAAAACGAAAAGAACGTTGAAAGTGGATAATGGAAAGTGTAATAGAGCTCGTGGAAGCCGTAGCTTTAATAGAAAATAATATTCCAGTGGACGCAACCGGGGAATTAATGCCGAAGCTTTTTAAGATATAGAGTTACGTTTAAGGAAAAATTTATAGTGCGATGTGGATTGAATTTGCGGGTCTCGGGCATTATTGATGAACTGCGACAATTCGACGATGAAACAAAAGTGTCGGGATATTTTGATTCGTTCTCATCAACTCGCACCATCCGTGTCCGATGGACAACAGTGAAAACATCACAATCGATTATCGGGACAAACATAACTCATGCACATTTCCATCCAATCACTCAATGAAGTGAAATATTCGATTAGGCTTGGTTGGCTCCAATCCTTCATTTGCAGATTGTCGAAATATCCCCATTCGAATTTCAATAAATGAACATTAATAATACTTTTTGCTGAATCAAAACTGCACTATTATTGTTCCATTACAAGCGAATTAATATTTCAAGTTTCTAGCAGTTTGTCCGCTATAAATAAAACATCATGATTTCGACATTTAATAAACGGAATGATATTTCCAAAAAGCAACAACTCCCGCATTGTATTGTTTATGGACTATTAAATTAACCACATCTACATTATGACATGAATAAATAAGTCTTCTATTGCCGTTTCGTAATTGAATAATGCGTTTAAACAAAGCAATTTGCAAGTTATTATTTGGAAAAAAAAACCGTGATTTACTGTTCGTATCACGTTTTTAAATAAACCCGGTTGTACTTTTCCGATGAAGATTGACCGGGGAATAATTAATTTATTTATTCATTTAAATAAATTTATTATTGTGCCTAATTTTTATTATTTATTGCCTACAGGTAAATGCGCTTGATTAATCGTCTGATATATCACCATTACTGTTTGTTTATGTAAGCGATTAAATTTAATTAATCAGTTTTAAAATTTTATTTGCATTCGAATTAGAATGGAACAGTACACACTGATCACCATGCGACAATTATTAAAATCAAAGAAAGCGAGCAAATGCAACAACAAAAGCAAAGTGAGACAAACTCAACCAGACAACGATTTGAGGACCCGAAAAAAAAGAGAACAGAAGCAATTTAAGAGAAGTTTCAAATAAAGATGGTAAAACAATGAATGTATAGGAAGATGGAGAGAGTTTCAGATAAATTGCTTTGTGAGTAAAATAACGATGGAAATAAGAAAAGGTCGACGAAAGATAAAAGAATTAATTTATTGGTCTTGAGCGCAGTCAAAATAAATTAAATGTGGAAAAATTTGCGTCAGACAGTAGTGAGAGTGAAGGTAGGAAAAAACATTGGCAATGAAGTAAATAGAAATAGGGTGGAAACAATCCTACTACTTCTTGATGGAAAGTTTAAAAATTCGGAGCTCTGATCATTTAAGTCAGACTAATAAAATTAGAATAGAAAAGTATGAAATTCGTACGAATTTTTCAACGTGCATTTGCGGATTATTTAGCGTAGTTTGCGCCAAACAAACCGAGCTTGAACACAACTTAGTCGTATGCAAAGAGGCATTAAGATCAAGAAACGTGAAAAAGAACATAAAGAACACTTAAGTACGAGAGGTGGGACAAGCAGATGAAGAAAATTGTCTTCTTCGGATATCGAGTAGAGGGAGGTTGAACAGGGGAAAAACTTTAAGTATTTAGCAGGGGAGAAGCGCAAGAAAAGGGAAGCAAAGGACATAAATAAACGAAAAAAACAAACATTTAGAGAAAAGAAGAGACAACAAAAATGTATGTTTTATTTAAAAGGCGATTTTAGGAACGACACGCACCTTTAACAGCAGTATGCTACATGCAAAAATTTCAACTAAAACCTAGACAGCGGAATGTACTCCTGAGGAGAATAAATGTCAACTAGAAGAAAGAGAATAACACATTAAAGCGGACGAAAGCATTAAAAGTGGTAGTCATACTAAGAACATGATTGAAATAAAACCGGTGATTTTTTCGGGGTTTTAGGTTCTCGTAGGAAATAATGTTTTCCCGACGTTTTGCAAGCACGAGTGGCTTGCATGTTCAGAACTGGTATGTTGCGCCGCTATACACATCGTAAATTAACCAGTTCCAAATATCCGTAATAGATCGGTGTTAAAAAGTGTTTTTATAAGTAATTGCACCCCGAAGCACACTAATTACGAAGTTTCTCCAATAAAGAGTTGCAATTTTCTCAATGCGCCCATTTGTTAAGTCGTAATCTGCGCGACGTAACTTTTACCTTAACCTATTTCCCTCTGAATTAACCATTTGCAAACTAGGATTGCAAATTTATTTCCATGTTAATGTCGGTCTTGGTCGTAGATTTCCATTTTATCCGTGGCCAGAATGCAATGGAAAGCGATTTGCAATGACGTTAATATTATGGTGAAGTTTCTCGCTAACGAAAAAGCACAAGTCGTCGGCGGCGGCGCGCTTTATTGTATTTTAGTCGGAATTGGGAATTTTATTTTCAGTTTTCTGCAAAGTGAAACTTGGAAATATTTGGGTATATTTGCCGCTGGTTCCGCTCGATTTAAACAGCAAATGGGTCTTTTCAGGGGATGCGTTGGTTAGAGCTGGGGACAAAAGAATTAACAGGGTTTTATTTGGTCAAAAATCATAAAAGGAGTAGGTTTCCAACGAAATTTTTGTCCAGTTGAAAACATAGCCTTGAAGTTGCAATTTTGAAGAAATTTACTACTCTTACTGTACCAATTATCAGTCGCCAAACCTTTGGAATCAATTTTCTTTGGGCTTCTAGCACCATTTTCGAATTCAGCGCCTTGAAAACTACGGAAAAATCGAGTCCCCAACACTTAAAAATCCACCTTCTGAACGCTTGAAATAATCCCCGTTCATTATCTGAATTTTTCATGTAAAATTAACGAATCTCGCGGGGAAACTAAAAGATGGATAAAAGTAATCCAATACCAAGCAATCCGAGATAATCGCCAATTGTTAAACCAGAAGCATCCGAAACCGTTTGGTTCCGCTGCCGTCCCTGCTGAACAACAAAAATTGTTCTCGACATACTTTATTTCGAGCAAACATCCATATATAACTCCTTGTGCCTCCCCAGACAGGCCGAATCCCTTCGAAATGAATCCGCAGCCAGATGCATCCGAAGACGGATTAAATATTTAGGTTGCAAGGTATTCCTCAATGGATTAAAGTGTCTCTAATTGAGAAAAGTGATTGACTTTTTCCGATTGCGACTCTCATTTCAATCGATGTGAAAGTGGATTTGTATTTGGATTGTGAGTTTTTCTGTAGCGAATTGATGTTTTTAGATGATTATTAGGAGAGCAAGTCTTTTAATGGGGATGTTTTCGAGATGGGAGTTTCTATTGCTTTTATTGGCAATTTACTTTGATAATCCGCTTTCAGTAATGTTAGTGTTTGGTTTTTTCCTTCTGAGGGAGAGCGTTTATAGTCAGAATAAATGGTGCTAACAACGGTAATAACCATGTAGCTATCGCTTAGTTAAATTGAAAGCATGCATGCAATTCCTTCCGATTTCCCATGTTTATTGCGTCAAAAATTTGGACGATAGAAGCCCATTTTGGGAAGCGTTTCTTAAATATTTAGTTAAAAAGTTGAAAAATCACAAGAACCATATCCTGTTGGCAAATAACAGCGACCAGTAAACCTCTGGGCATCAGCTTCCAAGCATTAGTAATTCCGGGCATTACACTGTAACCCTCCTCGGAGTATTTGTTATGTTAAATCCATAAATCCCCGCTATGAAATAACAGCTTCCATTTGACCCTTGTACGGAATAAATTACACTTTGATCTGAGTTTCTGGCATTTAAATATTTAATCGGGATCTGGACATGCAGGAAGCCATACGGCACACCGTGCTAAATCGGTTTCTTTATTTCAGGCAATTTTGCAACTGACTCTAGAAGGATTTTGTGGATGACTGATGCCTTGTTTAAGCGAAAATGCAAGTTTTGCTCGTTGTGCAAAAAAGTCCAAAGAATTCGAGCGTGTATTCAAATATAATCAATTGGTTTTCGGTTTGATGCGACCTAGAAACCAATCCATACCGGGCAAAACTATAGAGTTCTCGTGTCGTGCAATTAGAACGACAAGCCTTCCACTAATTGTGGCTCGTTCTTTAATCTCGTCTAGAGAAGTCACGTTTCTGAGAGACCGGATCGCCTTCCAGTTTAATCACTACTCCGGAAAGTGCCTTTCCGGATTTAGGCGATAGAAACTGAGGGCGGGCGAATTTACTTAATTTTTTCCCAGTTTTAAGCGGAAAAGGGACTGGCTAAATGGGCCACGAAACGAAATTTCTCGAGATTAATGGTTTTCAAATACAAGACAAAAGGATGTTGGATGGCGCCATTTATATCTGATTGATATGAAATGGGGCGAGAAATGAAGTGATACTGGATTGACTGAATGTGATGAAGTCGAGAGTAGGTACTTACATGCACATAAAAATATAACAATAAATCAGCCGAGCATCGGATGGGATTGAAGCTCTCCCCTTGGGAGACACACAAACTGGGATTTTTCTCTTCTCTGCTTATCACGCTTCGATTTTTTAAGGACACGCGTTTTATGGTCTTTTGTGCTCTTAAACTATTTTCAAAAATTCATAAAAATCAGCCGCACATCGGATGCGATTAAAATTTATTACTGGTTTAAACTGGGATCTCATCTGTAAATGCGCCAAAAATTAATCCCTTCGCTATTCAGGTTTTCGAGATGTACATTTTTAAGGCCGCGCGTAATTTATCCTCCTTTGCGGAGGCGAAAAAACACCTAAAATGGAAATGTTGGGAAAAAAATAAGGATTTTCGAGAGTAATAGCAAAATTGCTTAAATACTCCCGTTGTGAGAAAATCGCCCTATTTTTAAAAGACATACATTTTTACCTTGCCATTGCCTTAACCATATAGAAGTTTCAAGCACACTGACTATGAGTGCTTGAAATCATCAGCTAAACCAGATAGTAAAAAAACTGTAAGTACCCTAAATCAAAATTAAAATAATCGCCCAAATTAAGCGAACCATGAAGAAACCGTTTAAAGAGGAGAACAGGTTATAAAACTACAAATAGACAAGCGAAACTGTAGACTTAAGTACGTAGAAATAAATACTAAACTAAAACAGCCTCAAATAAGCGATGAAGTAAGTGTGTTATTTTACACATTTTTACCTTTTATCAGTATTCGAACTCATTTCTCCTTCTTTTTATTTATTTATGTTCCTTAATGTGTTATCCACTATACGTACTAACAACGTGTTTTTTGTTGCAGGGACTATTATTACGACAGGTAAGATTTCAACACTGCTTTGCTAATTAGTCCGACTCTTTGTGAACCAAAGAAACGCCCCATTATTAGCGCAAAACGTTTCAATTTCGATCTGCCGAAGGTAAGCATTTGCATATTTTCCATATGGTGGAAAACTGGCATTTTAAGCATGCCTTAAGGCAGTCGGTTTACTGTCTGCTCAGCTTTATCTAATTTTCTGTTGAGCACGAAACAGTTGATCTGAATGATTTAACTGCTATTAAGCGTTCGATTTCTGATCATGCAAAAAAGTTCCTAACTCTTAGAAAATTATCTATATTTTCTGACCACTTAGAAGTGAAAAAACTTCTAGATTTTTCTAATAGAAAGTGTGGGCTGTTTTCAATAAGTCACATCATTCATTAACCGAGCAAATATTTAAATTCTGGTAAGTTCTGATGCTTCCATTCGGTTGCATGGAGCAAATCCATGCGACATATCTTAGTATGGAAGCCTGAAGCCAACCAATATGCTTTTCAAACAAGAAGGTCGAATTCACCTCCCATTTCAATTGTAGCGTCGAACGAATATCATTCCCTTTAACCGCACTATTAAGTCTACCATGAAAACTTACTGTAAAGGAAATGTAGACAGAAGATCAGATGATCGTTCCATGGATAATTGTTCGATTCAAAATCAAAATTGTTCCTGTTTAAGGGCTTTAAGATGTTTCGTTGTGAAATGAAACGAGCAGCGAAGCATCCTTTTCCAGTCGTTAAGTATCCAGGATTATTCCCGGCTTCCTGCTCTTCAGCGAGACGAAAGGATCAGAGTTTGAACCTGTTTTGTTTGTTGGCTAATCCTTTGCGGTCGAGCTCAGCGTCATAAAATTAAGTCGACTTTTCGCAACAGATTACCTACACATTTTTATGCAGATTAGAACGGGGATGGGTTTCCTCGCGCTTGGTTGATAGAAGCCAAGATATCTCGTTAGGAACTTTGGATTTGTTTAGCTTGTTATTCTGTAATCTTCTGGCATTTTTCGCATAAATATGCAAATGTGCCGAATGAAACCGGCGAAAGCATAGAAACGCCAGCAACTGGTAACAGGAGATTAATAAATGCTGAATTATTACGTATTAATTCAGCAGCGAAACAGGTAAAGAAAGCGGAATCGTTCGGATATATTCAGGCAAACGACCGAAATCGTATCCATTATCGACTTTCTGGAGGGAGGTTTATTGCATTTTGAGTAGGATTCGGAGGAACATTTATATTCAGTGCATTGAATTTCGAATTTTCTCTGCATCTTCCAATCCCCTCAGAGAAGGCCTCGTTGTTGTTGATTTACATTATTTTCATCGATCGACAGTCAACAGAATAATTATTTTTTTGCAAATACTTGAAAGGCATGAATTGTCGAAATATCAAAAAGATTAATTTTTTGTGGAGGGATAAAACCAACAGTTTGTTTGTTTTTGCGTGAATTTTCCGAACAATTTCCAGGGCGCTGATAGCGACTTGTTGCTGTGATCAGCGCCCCTTTATAATTCGATTCTCTATCCAGTTTCCGCCTCTTTGTCGCCATGCCGCCCTCGTTTTGTTCACAGGTTTGGATCCCATTTATCACCATATGGCTTTTGCGAAAATAACATTTCACATTTTTATATGCATTTTTGAAACTCAATCGATTTGAGGAAGTTTCCTCAAAATTAGCCTCCCAGTGCTTAAATGTCCTTCGTCTAAAAGTCTTTCCAATTATAAATGCTTAATACCTGGTCTTGGTAACGCTATTAACTGTGCGAAACTTTTGGACGATCCTTGTTGGTAAATTTCACCAACAGTAATTTTAATTGCGTAAAGCAATTACTTGCGTTGTTTACTTTGCAAACAAAAGCAAAATACCTTTTAATGATCGCGGCCTGTGAATGAATTTTAATACCGTTTTGCAAAGTGATTACAGTGTCGGGTTCAGTTTCGAGTTTCCTATTCATTTCGTTTCAAACTCGCAGCGAAAAGGTAGAATTTGTCATATTTTCTGTGAACGGAATATAGCATGATATAGAATGAACATGAAAGAGGGGAAGGATGCGAAAAGCCACGTCTGTTGGAGGGAGTCCTGCTCGCTTCACCTAATTTTCTTCGATTTTTTGTAGAATTCAGTGATTTACCAAAGCAAAAACTTTTGAATTATTGCGGAGAGTAAACGAATTTCATTAGCGGTTTTTGATGTGAATGGTTTCTGGAATTTTACAGAAATTTGAAACTGAAGAAAAAAATTGCTAGTTTTTCTGTGAAAGGAAACGATAGAGCATATAAAAGGAAAGGGAAATCGCGCGTGAAAAGACTTGTTGGAGGGATTGCAGCTCCCTTTATCTAATTTTATTGAAAATAAGTCAATTTTTTTAACTTTTTGTAAAATTTTGTGACAGGCCGAAAGCAAAGTGCCTGTGCACCAATTTTATTGCCGATTTTTAAAGTAAATTTTAAGCTTTCCGTTCATTTTACTCAAATTTGAAGTTGAAAGAAAACATTTGCCTTCTTTTCTGTTAGGAATTAGTGCTCCCATCACCCAATTTTGTGGAAAATAAGTTGATTTTTCAGAACTTCTTTGGAGATTTTAGTGACCTACTAAAATCAAAAAACGTTTGAATTATTGCGAACAGCGAAGGAATTTTATTGCTCTTTCGTAAAGTGATTTTCACGCTTTTCATTCATTTTACTCAAATTTGAGGCTAAAAGAAAACATGTGCGGTGTTTCTTGTGAAAGGAAACGATCGATAATAGCATAATATAAGAACAAGAAAACGTGCTCGTAAAACGAGTTTTGTTGGCGGAATAACTGCTCCCTTCGCCCAATTTTCTGGAAAATAAGTAAATTTTCCTGATTTTTTTTTAAATATTGCAACCTGCCAAAAGCAATAATGTCGGTCAGCAAAGCAATTTTAATGCTGTTTTGTGACGTGAATTTACAGATTTCTATTAATTTTATTCGAGTTGGAAACTGAAAGACATCAATTGCCTGGTTTTAGGCAACTTTAAAGGCATAATATAAGAAAAAAGGCGCAAAAATAATTCTATTGGAGGGATTAATGCTTCCTATCACGAAATTTTCTAGAATTTTTTGTAAAATTTATTGACTGGCTAAAATCAAAATGCTTGTTAATGATCACAGACAGTGCACGAAATTTAAGCTGTGAATTTAAAATTTCTAAAAGAAAATATTGCCATGTTTTCAGAGAAATAAGCCGATCAATAAAGGCATGATTAACAAGGATAGGCGTAAAACAACGTCTGTTGGAGGGAGTACTGCTCGCTTTATCAACCTTTCTAGAAAATAGTAATTTTTCCTGAGTTTCACGTGGAATTCTAGCTGTTGCAATGAAAATAAAAAGGCAAATTAAGTTGAATTATGAACGTTCGGGTTTATAAGTATAAATGCGTAGTGGCTTTGTACAGACTATAATGAAGTTTTATGAAAGCAATTAAGCAACTGAGCAAGAGCTCTCATCACTTAGATCCTGAATATTTAACCGAATTTAGATGGACCAATTATCTACTTAACGAAGAAATTAATGAGGATTGCACGAATTTCCACGTGCTCCAGACAGAACTAAAATTGCCGCATTAAAACCGGCCGAGTCAATAAAAGTGAGACTGCAGCTAAATGACATTTTATTCAATATTTAAAACGCGAAGGGAATGTAACAAAGCAGCCTTCCCATTTGAATCCGATACCTTTAAATAATTTAAGGGCAAATAATCGATCAGACAGTTTGAAACGGTTTTATTCGCGTTCAAAGGCCGGGCCGTGCAGCTATTTGCTGAATTATTGTAGACCTAAAGGTTTGGAAATTGACCTTTTTGTTGCATTGTGATTGATTTTGTTTATTTAGTCACCTACAAAATATTTTAATATATCAGTTAAAGTGAAACACCATTTACTCCAAGTCTTTTTACTACAAAGATGTACTTTTTGGATATAAATTAGACCCCCGGCGAGTCAATGGCCGTAAAGCGTGGGCTTTTTTTCACTTAGAAGATGTTCGTTCGGTTGATTCGCTGGCAAATAGAAATCATTCCTTGGTGCCCCGACTACGTTCATCCCGGTCATTTCCAAGTCAATTTGGAAACTCTGGAAGCAAGGCGACGGAAATTCAATTAAGTTTAATGTTTGATCCGGAGCCGCGGTGTAAAAAAGCCGGCGTCCCAGTCTTGAATAATATCGCTCGGTAATGGATTTCGAATTAAGTGATGCGTCTCATAGGGCCGATTCCTTGCGTTTTATTTGCATTTTTATGGGCGCGAATGCCGACGAAATAGGCGAAAATATGCTCCAATTTGGTATCAAGGTGCGAGCGAAGCGATTTAATAACGTTATGTTCGGAGAATGGCCGAGATAAAAAAATAAACTTTGCAGGTGGAATTGCGTACGGATATATTGGGGTAGGCTGCAAGATTGCAGGTTTTTCTATGTTGTTTGGTCAAAAACAGTCCGTCACAACTTTTTCTTTCAATGGGGCCAAGATTGGCAAGTTTATAGTGTTTTTTCCAAATAAATCCTTCGATGTCCTCAATTGGAGAACGAAAATTGCACGAATAGATTGGCTTGTGAATGTTGCATTCGTTTGGGGAAATTTTCGAACTTTTCCGGTCAAATACTGGATAAACAGCAAAAACAATAAACTGAATGGCGAAAAGCTGCGAGAATGGTATTCCGGTGCCTGCAAGCGCCTTTTCTCATACCGTCACGCTGAGATGCGCCAATAAGAGGGCAGATTAATCATTTTCGAAAGTTCGATAACTCGCTCCGAGAAAAATTACGGATAAATTTTGATATATCGTCCCGGAATGTCTGTCTTAATTTCGCAAAAATGGTTAAACGCTAAATAATTGCATAAAGGACAACTTTAAAAGGCTCTCAATTTCAGATTTTATTCAACGTCTTCTGCGAGTTACTAAATCATACACAATTTTTTTCTTTTCAAACACAAATTTGGTTTAGTTGTCAGGCTTTAGCTGATCTTTTTCGTAAGTTTTTTATGCAAAACAAAGTCTACATATTTCGCTTCCTCGAAATTGTTATTCATTTATCGTCTTTTCTCCACCTTCCACCATGGAGGATAAATTACATGGAGAAAAAGTGGTCCAAAGCCGTTGATATAAAGCCATATTATGGAGGGTATTGTCGTGTACAACTGCGGATGACACTTTGATAAAACTGGCTCGTATAAGATTTGTGCCACATCATTAATGCTCGCCCTCAAATGTACAAGCTTGTCCGTTGCATTGCTACTAACTATCGATCCTGAAACGTATTCTAGTCGAGCAGAATAAGCGGCCCAGAATATTCAAATTCGGCTTAAATCTGTTGTCTGAATATTGTACTTAATAAGCCACTGGAATCATCAATGATGAGAAAACGTCCATCCATTCTTTTGATGGTAGACAGTAGTAAGCGCAAAATAAAAAAGCAATTTCCATTGATCGCATTCGTTGCTTAACAACATGCGATTTTAACTGCCATTAGTTTCTATTAGAAAGTCCATTACAGTCGGCTCACAATTCCAACATTTCGAAGCTCCATATCCGGCTTTTCCGGAAAATATGTCTGAATTGCATCGGTATTTTTCTCGGCTTTTTGCGGCGAAACCTTGCATACAAATTTACAAGCGGGACAACGATCAGACTCTGGAACACATCCAGGTCACGTTTCACATATACATAGAGATTTCAACGCAAAATTTGTTATGTTACGTTGCTTGCCGAGAGTGCACCATCATTGAGATTATTTAATTGATTTGAGTGTCATTTCCTAGATGATTTTTATCAAAAAACTATGATTGTTTCGCTTGAAATTCAAGAAAGCGACTTATAAGCTTGGGAAACAGATGATGAAGAGTCGCAGGAACTTTACTTTGTACTCTGGTTGTCTTATAGCAAAGTTAAAATATTAACCAAAAATTACAATTTTTTCACTTTGGCGAATTAGGGAGATTCGTTTGATAACTCTTTGATGCTCAGAATCTCTGCTGAAATGAGCAAAATGCTCGATATAATCAACATCCTCAATCGCACACAATATAATTAAATTATACAAACATTTTATGAAACTTTCTGAATCTTGATGACGAAGCATTTGCGTGCCTGAATTTAAATCGCGAACTTTTTACTCGATTTTACGTCAATTATACGAGAGTTTGCGTGTATTTTTCAAACACTCTGAAAACATTTTTTGGTTTTTTTTCCAATAGATTAGATGGGGATAGTTTTCTGGTGTTGGGACCATTAATTAACAAAAATCGTTATCTGCGCTTGTAGACGTTTCGCCGCTTTATATAAGCTTCGTCCGAAGAAAAATTCGACGAGTGCGGTTAAAACTTTTGTTAATTAAAGGAACCAACGTCAAAAAAATTACTCTTAACCACGCTGTCTTTGTTTTACAACCTAATTTTTGGTGCTTTATTTCCTTGCATTTTTATTTGCGCGCATTCATTAGCAAATATTTTCAATTCTTCACCTAAGAATTTAGTAAAAAATATTTTTGACGCAAACATTCTGCGAGTTTTTTCAATGGATTATACGAATCGATAGGTTGCATGAGTAACGATTGAAGAATCTAAACAATGTGAAGAATGGAAAGTTTTTCCGGGCGCATTTTTTACACTTTTAAAGTGGAATTATTCAACCTAACGGTGGCTGGAAAAAAATCCTCAAAAACTTGGGTTAAACAAATTTTCAGTAAGTATTAATGCGATCTCAGAAATAATAATTGAGATCCATGTTTGTTTGAGTAAAACAGACCCAAAACGTGAAACAACGTGCTTGAAAATGTAAAAATATTGGAAAAATTATTCGAAAACCCATTATTTTATAAGCGTTTTCGACTTTTTCCTTAAAGATGTATGTATCTATCGAAGGCTTACTAATTTGTCACTTATTCTTATTTTTTCAAACTTTCTAATTTTCCATGTTGGTTTCTGTTCAATTTTTAATACAGCTTTACTTGGTATCTTCTTCAAAAGCAACAGAAAACTCAGGCAAAAAACGGAACAAAAAGCAAATTTTAAACAGCAGACAAACACAAGGTTAATTTGAATTTGTATATTTTTACTTACAGTTTTTCAACATAGGTATTTGATAAAGTGTGTTTTATTGCCAATAATCACTTCTTGGGTATTTCTAATATACTCTTGCATATATACAACACAAAATTTCAATTAAAAAACCCATCCAAAACGTAAAAGAATGTCATAAAGTCAAAAAATTTGTAGAAAATTGACGAAATATTATCTCCAGACGATTCAAAGGTCTGCAACTATTAACCCATAAAATCCAGTCGGTTTCTGTGCTTTTATCAGTTGCTCTCGTAACTCATTAATAATAATTTCATTATCAGTTTCATTACGCATTTATTCCACAGACGTCTTGAACGTTGTGTCGATTTATTAGTATTCTTTCGCATGTCGCTGACTTGTCAGTTAGACGTTTTTGTTCAGTTTTTCCAACTTTAGTCCGAAAATCGTGCAGTTTTTTTTTTTTTCGTAAAACAGTCATGACTTTGACCAGGAAAATTATTAATACGAATAACGCGCCCAGACCTATTGCACCGTACAAGTGAGTAACCACGCACGTGCATTTGAGGATACTCGAATTTTGAGTAAAAGCGATTTTTTCTCAAAAATCTTTTAGTCAGGGTGTTGTTTTGGAGTCCACCCTTTACGTGTCCGGATGTCTGGGACTGGACAAAGACACGATGAAACTAGTGGAAGGGGATGTGAGTACCGAGACCAGACAGGCTCTTCGAAATTTAGGTGAAATTCTACACGCCGCTGATTCGGCATATGATAAAGTGATAAAAACCACAATTTTTATGAGCGATATGAACGAGTTCTCTTCTATCAATGAGGTTTACAAAGAGTGTAAGTGTGTCCTATTAATATTTACCTAAAAATCTGTTGGAGTGGCTAGTGCTCGCCTCCCCAATTTTCCGAAAATTATTTTACTATTTTTTCCAAATTTTAACTTCATTTGATATTTTTGTCTGCTTATTAGTGAACTTCACTTCTAGAATGTTTTACCGAAGCAAATTGTTGCACCAGAGCAAAAAATGAATGAACCCATAAAAAGGCAAATAATTCGAATAAATCTTTTGCGGCAAAATTGATTCTGCCTAACCTGCTGCCTGGGTGAATGAAAAAATAGTAATTAAATAACAGAAGTAGGCGCGAAGAAGCCTCAAGATAAATTTACGGCAGCGTTACGCTCTTTTAAAAAGCTATTAGCACTTTGTCATGCTTTTTACGAACTGTTCGGAAAAGTTCGGAAGGGCGATTCTCAACGCACAAATTTTCTTAAAAATTACTTTTGAGGAGTAGGCCGAGCGTCGACTAGATCGTTTATCATGAGGCCTCGCCCCCTAAATGACGCAATAATTCGATTACGGTTAAGCGGATATTAAAGGTTATTTAATTTTCTCATTTTCTCTGTCAAATTATCGGCGGCAGGAAATTTGTTGTTAATGCCCAGGTTTTAATGGCGTTTTTTCAGTTTTCACCAAGGATTATCCAGCAAGATCAGCGGTTCAAGTGGCCAAACTGCCCCTAAATGCAAGGGTGGAAATCGAAGTGGTGGCCGCTGTGGGAACTGTGAAAACCGTCTGCTGTAAACACTAACACCAACATGGAAAAATCATTTTTAAGTCTAATATTTGTATTTAAATATGTGACAATTCAATAATAATGAAAATGCGCTCATGATTATAGTGCGGAAAAAACCTTGAATATAGCAAGAATTTTTCACCAGTTACACCTCAAAAATCGGTTTCTGACTAATTCCTGAGTCATTAATGCGTTGTCGCCAAAAATCTGTGCTTAAAGCCCGCACTTATTACTGAATAATCAGTCAAAAAATTATTTTCATTATTTTTTTCTTCTTCTCAGCCTGTCCTTTATCCACTCCTTTATCAAATCGTTCCACGTCCTCCTATTTACAGCAGTTTGAATCCAGTTCCTCCTTGCAATGAATGTGCAAAAAACAAAATGAAAAATATGAAAATTCTAATCATCTTGTTCCGTTGCTTATGTAAATTTTCTGCTGCTTTCGTGAAAGATACCAAGTAAATCCGTATGCAAAACTGAATTTAAACCAATACAGAAAAGTGCAAAGTTCTAGAAAAATAAGAATAAACGACAAATTTATAAGTCTTCAACACATGCAACTTTAAAAATGGTTTCGCGAACAAATTTGATTGTTATTTTTGAGACCGGTGTGAAAACTGCTTTCTGCTGATTTTTTGCCATTTTCTTTTACCTTTTGGATCGGTTTAATGTTGTGTGGATTTATGCAATTTCAAAACATAAAGAACTCAAAACAAGAGTATATTAGAAATATCCAGAAAGTGAATATTGACAATAAAACACACTATCAAATACGTTCAAAAACTGTGAGGAAAAATTTACAACTTCAAATTAACCTTGTGTTAGTCTGCTGCTTAAAATTCGATTTTTTGTTCCGGTTCTTATGTGAAATTTCCGTTGCTTTCGTGAAAGATAACAAGTAATATGAATATAAAAATACAAACTTTAAAAAAATAAGAATAAGCGACATATTAGTGACCCTTCAGTAAGACGCAACTTGAAGAAACAATGTCGAAAATTACTTCACAGCTGATAAAATCATGATTTTCGGATCAATTTTTCTTTAAATGTTTTTACATGTTTAAATGTTTTTACATTTTCAAGCACGTTGATTCACGTTTTGGGGCTATTTTACTCAACCAAACATGGATCTCAATTATTATTTTTGCGACCAAATTCACACTTACTGAAAATGTAAATTTTGCTTAACGCCAGTTTTTGACGATTTTTTATGTTAGAGTGAAAGAATATGTTAAACGCTGTGGAAAATATACTGTTAAACACTTCCGCTTTTCCTTCTTCGCGTTGTTTAGGTTTTTCGATTGTTCTTCATTCTGTGTGAAACCTCCCGATTTTTATGATGCCTTGAAAAAATTCTCAACAGGATTTTTTCAAAAATTTTCTGTTCGATGAGGAACTGCAAAAATTGCAAATAAAAGCGCGTGAGGAAAATAAAAAGAAAGAAAGAAATTAAACACAAAAAATATCTAAATGGTGAGCAGATTATCAACGCAACTAAATTACGTTGTAAAACTTATACAGGGCGTTTGGGTGTAGTTCTCTTTATTTAAACGTCGTCCGAAAGAAGCTTATAAAATAAGTCGAATCCGTGGTATCAACAATTCCAGAAAATATACAGAGCGTTTCGAGAACAAACAAAAAAATTAAATCGAGGAAAAAGTTCCTGTAATTTTAGACACGCAAATGCCTTGTCGTAAATATACAGAGTATTTAATTTTCAAGAAATGTTTATATTCGATGCGGTTGAGGACGTTGATCATCCCGTGAGTTTTGCTTATTTGCGAGATTTTGAACGAAGGTTCACAAAATACATTTCCTTGATTCTCCTTTTTGGAAACATGGTTTAAAACTGTCTTTAGTTGTAGCCTCGTCTCGCTGGAAAACTGGATCTCTAACTGACTGTTGTTTTTACTCGGATGCAGGAAAGCTGCTCAATGCGGCTTAAGAGTATTTAGAGGAGATTCTCGTATTGTCTAAGGCTCTTTCTTCTCTCAGACGTTTATTTTTCTTTGCTATTTCAGGGACTTTTTCCGCCGCTACAATCTGAGCTTCGTTTTGTGAAAGGATTCATCTGGAATAATTTTCAAATTTTTTTTCTCACTTCCTGACTGACTTCTTTATATCCTTAGTTTTTCCAGTCTATTTCCCTTCTTGATTTTTTAAAGTTTCTTTTGTGCCGACTGACTTTTCTCAACATTTCGGTTGGAGCACATTCTTGATTGAAAGCTGATGTTTTTCGGGCAAAAGAAACTCACAAAATCTTCCTACTTTACCAGAATTTTTAAGGTTTTAAAACTCAAATTCTACTAAGTGATCGAACCCAGAGCTTGTCAGTTCGTATATATGCCATGTTGAATTGAGTGCAGTGGCACGTTTCAAAAATGATCATTTTAAATTGAAATATATTGCCAAGTCGCCATAACAAACACGAAATACGGCCACATAATAATAATAATGTCGGGGACGTTTTTATTTATTTTAAAGTCTGCAATCCAGAGCGGCTTTGCATGCGAGCGTCGGTGACGGGAATATATCTGAAATATGTTCATTTCCTGCACTCAGAACATGTTTCATCTCGACGTAAACTAGTAGTGACGTGTTCGTTCTGCAGTCACCCCCTAATAGGGGTAATGAAATATGAAGCTCTAGCATTGCATATGTCGGACTTGTAGGAACACTTCCTTTATCAAGATGTTTAGAAAACAGCCAGTTTTTATTTTATTGCCAATAGAAGATGGGAATCCTGCACTTTAATTAGTTAGTCGCATTAAACTGTTCTCATTGGTGGCCAATCCAGCAATTCCAGTTTTCTTCTGAACTAAACTATTATACTAAATAGCGGGGCGTTAAAAGTGTATTAGTCCATTCCAAAGTTAAATGAGTTTTATCCAATTTGCAAAACTATTAAAACTGCTCGGAATTGTTATATCTCGGTGGGTGATTTATGCGATAGGCCATAGAAAAATCACTAGCGCATTGCGGAAAAAGTCTCATTAAAGTTGATTTTATGGAAAAACTGCAGACTCTCGTTTCGGATCCATTGGAGCCGTCGACATTTGCAAACAATGATATTTTATATTCGCAGTTCGCGGATTCTATTCCGAAAGAGGAAATGAAAATACCTGTACGGTTTGCATCTGATTTCAAATCCGAGGTGTTGTTTGTCGTGCTTTATACACTGTCGCTCTATTTCCAGATAATGTACCGTCCAAATTTACACACCCTCCATGGCAGGTTGCAGATTGAAATTCTGCCCCATTTTTTTTTGTTTTCGTTATGCCCTCGTTGCAATCACCGGTGAAATATTCCCGGTCGATGATTATCGGGAAATAAACCACAAACATTCCTACAGGTGGGTTGAAGAAGGTTTTATTTCATCTTGTTGGACAAAAGAATGGAAGTCGGTAAGGAAACGTGCAGGTGAGATTAAAAGAAAGAAATTAGAGATAAATTAAAGCTCGAATTAAAGTGGTAAATGGAGCGTGAAAACTGCATGAAACTGATAAGATTTTTCTCCTAGTCGAGAAATAAGTGTTTCAAAGAATTTGTGCAAAATTTGCAATGGATGCCCAGGAAAACGTAATTAGTTTGATCATTTTAGAAAAATCTTCTCAAAATGGTAAAAATTTGTAACTTCCAATATAATTTCTTCCAATATTTCCCTACAAAGTTCAAAAATTGGCAATTATGTAACTGCTAAGTTAATCTAAGCAAAGCAAAGAATTTGTTGTCTCTAAGGAAAAGGTTGTCCATTACTTGAAGAAAAACGCTGTTGGTTTGAGAAATTCTGAAAAATATTCTGAATGTGTCAAAAATTCGAAACTTTCAGGGTTATTTATTTCCATACTTTCGTATAAAATTCAAGATTAAGATTTTCTTAACTCATCACAAAGTGACGAAATTTAGTTTCTCAAGAAAAACCGCATAATTGGCATTTAATGGCGCTCCARAAAAACGAGCTTGGTTTGAAATTAAAACAAAAACTGTCCTGAAAATGGCTAAAATTTGAAACTTTCGGACAAACTTATYTAAACTTTTGCCTACAAAATCCAGGAGTTTGGAACTGCTCAACGTACCCATAAGCGAAAACATTATTTTTTAGAAAAGCTGGTAAATTTCGCTTGWGAATAACGCTCGACAAAATCGCGCTTAGTTTGAGAATTTCTGAAAAATGTCTTCATAACGGTCAGAATTCGAAACTTTCGGAGCATTTTAGCTCAACTTTTGGCTATAAAATAGAAAAATCGACAGTTTCGAAGCTCATACCGAAGCAAAGTGATGATTTTGTTAAAAAAAATTGGCAAATTTCGCATTTGAATGACGCTCCAGAAAAATGCGTTTAGTTTAGTTTGAAAATTTTTGAAAATATAATGTATTAATACAATATTAATATAAATMTATAAAAATTCTGCCTACAAAATTCAAAGGTTGAGAATTTCCCAACGCGAGAAGAAATAATTCTTTGCAGAAAAGCTGACAAATGTCGCTCGAGAAGAAACCGCTTAGTTTCAATGTTTCCGAAAAACGTCCTGAAAATGGTCAAAATTTGAAACCTTGGGCGTGATTAATTTAAACCTTTTTCAAACCTTTTTTAAACCAACTTTCTAACTAGTTAGAATGAGAGAAATTATTTTCTTATGAAAATGTGCAATAATTGCATAAATGGGGCGCCCGAAAAATGCGCTTGTTTTAAAAAATTCTACAAAATTCCCTGATAATTGTCAAAATTCGAAGCTTTGAGCGTAAGTAGTTTAAAGGTTTACCTGCCAAATCCAAATCTCGCTAGTTTTAATGAAAATGTGCAACAATCGCGTGAAAAGCGCGCCCGAAAAACGCTCTTAGTTCGAAAAATGTTGAAACATTTCCTGAAGATGGTCCAAGTTTGAATCTTGTGACGTAATTTATTACGTATTCAAGAGCCGACAATTTCCCAACTTATCCTAAAGCGAAGAAATGATGTTTTAACAAAGCTGACACATTTCGTATGTGAATAACACTCGAGAAAAGCGCGCTGAGTTTGAAAATATCCTGAGTATGGGCAAAATTCGAAACTTTTCGAAAAATCTATTTCATATTTTGCTTAGGACATGCAAAAGTCGGCAATTTCCCAACTTATCCTAAAACGAAGAAGTTATTTTTTCAAGAAAATGTTCAAAAATCGTATGAATGGCGCTCAAGAAACACGCGCATCGATTGGAAAACTATGTAAAATGCTCTGAGAATGGATCAAATTCGAAACTTTTCGAATAATTTAATTCAACCTTTCGCCTACAAAGTGCAAAAATTGCAAAAAAAATTATGTTCAAGAAATCGCGGAAATCTCTAGTTTGAAACGAATAGTTAATCGGTAAGCAAAAAAAAAACATCTAAGAAAACAAAAAAATAAATGTTTTAAAATCAATTAGTTACTGTTTGATCTAAGCAGTCAAATGACGCTTGAGAGCTTGAGAGCTTGAGACGTCTCTTAAAGTGTTCTTAGATATAAACAGTGTACGCAAATTTTGCCTCCAAAATGCCTTACATCTTACTCCGCGCGCTGTTGCCGATTTTCTGCACCGTTCGCTTCTCGCCGTTGCCAACATGTTCCTTATTTAATTTTATTCGCGGAATTTTGCTTTTTGTCACTAAATATTGGGCAAACCTGCAATCAATTTTAAAGTCTCCAACTGTAGATTGCAAGCTGTTTGTTTAATATTTCAAACCGAAATCCTCCCGATAAATTTACCTATTCGACAGTCTAAAAATCTCCACTGCCTTGAAAATCGTCTGGCTTCCCTTGGCCTGTGTATAAATTCATATTTGCGTCAGATCTCGTTACACTATTAGATAGAGATCAATAGGAACGGAGTAAACGCTTTCCGTTGCTGGATTGAATTCGAATTTATCACCGGCTCTAGACAAAGTCGAATTATACGAGAAAACGAAAAAGCGACATTCCTCTATTAGATTTCAGGAAAGAATTGCCGGTTGACACCTTATTTGCACTTCATCTCAGGCATTTCGAACGCCACCATTTGAATTTCCAATGGCGATTCGACTGATATTAAATAAGTGGAAGTATATTGAATAAATGGAAATTGACTATTGGCAGATTTGCAATTAATTAGAAATCCCGATTTTCATTTTATGTTTTTTCTAATTTATTGACTTGCTTTATTGCAATACTTTAGCCACGATTTGCAATGGAATTTGACTTTTTAATTAATTGGGCAGAAAAAAATGCAATTATGGATCGAATTCAGCATAAACACTGGCTTATTTCCTAAGATAAAAATATTTCCTAAATCGCATTACGTTTTAATGGCGCTGCTTAAATGGTGTTGTTTTTGAAATTATAATTTAACTGGGTGTGAAAAGGGTGTGGGATTTTTCAAAACTTGCATTTGAGATTAATAAAAGAACATTTGCTGAAAATCCTGCCTGAGCAAATAAAGGGTTTTATTAAGAAGCACACACTAGCAAAGGTACTTTGCAGCGTCACTGGGCTCTCAAGTTTAGCCCTACATTTCACTCGTTCAAAACCAACCTAAATTTAAATAATCTATCAAGTTGTTTCAGAGGAAAGGAAAATAAGCAAAATTCAATAAACCAGAAAAATAATTCGAAAGTCTTGCAAAAACCGGTAGTTGAGAAGGAGCTCCGCATTTCTACTAACATTGAGCAGCGTAGCATTTTATTCTGTTTACCACCTATGCGCCAGGTAGAATCCAATTACTTTCCATCTCCTTTAGGATCATTTGATCTGCACTTAGAACCCGTTGAAAAATTACCGTGTTAAACTCCGCAAAATGCACGTATCAGTTAGGGTGAAAGCGGTAAAATAATGAAGATACACAAGTTGCTTGTATGGAAAAGTCCTGACAATGAAACGCGAAAATCCGTCGCTGCAATGGAAAATCGCATTCAAGAGCCAAGTGTCACTTTGTGCGAATATAACTGGATCACCTGGGAATTGTGCACGCCAAACGTAAGGCATTTTGTTCGAATTTGCCTGGAACAAGATTCGACACAATCCTTTGTTTGATAACTGCAAGTCTGTCCGGCTTTTTGCCGTATTTTCTGCTCTATTATTTGCCGATTTTACGTTTTGCTTTGGATTTGTCCACGCCCGGTTTTGCCACCAGGACGTAACGAAGTCATTTGCATTCTCTCTTTCTCTCTGTGTAATTGATACGATTGCGCTAACTTAAGAGTTGGGTTCTTAGTCGCTTTTCAAGCAATAATAAATCGCAATTTTTGTGTTTGATTTATCTGTTTGTTGCTATAAAGCCGTCAGTACTCGATTTGATTTCTGTTCCACCGAACAATGCAACTGCATCATATTTAATTGTCGGCTCTGCCTTTTACTCGGATAATTGCAAAAACAATCTGCCATAGTAGGAGAAATAAAGCGCATTTTGATGGAAAAACGAGCTTACGTCCCCGTGCAGTGATAACTTTTTTCTCCGTTGCTGCTTTTAGAGCAAATGGGTTTTTGTCGACCGATTTTCAATTGCAAAACAGTCAAACTGGCAGTAGAAGTGATGATTGAGCAACATCAACTATTACGCGAAATGGCAACTGACGTGCAAAGAAAACACCTTGGCCGAGTCATTTTTTGCAGTTTAATGGTATCATTAGTCTTAATCCGGCAGACAAAGTAAATATTTTCCATCGGGCAAAACCTGGATTTTCAGCGATTCACTTTAACGATCAGCAACTTAAATAGCTCTAATTTGATTAAACGGAAACTGCTGACTTGGGTAATTATCATTTTCTTAAGGAGGGCATTTTCGAATCTTTGGAAAGTTAAACGAAGCATGCGACTGGATTCGCTGCCTGCAAAAAGCCTCTGGCCAGTGGAATTCGGGAGTTTTTCGGTTTTTTCGCGCGTTTTGGAAAATAATTTGGTCCCGATGTTTTGCCAGGATGAGCGGGTTGCGTCTTCAGAGATGGTTTACGCGGGGCAGCAACCAAGCATCAGCTTCACCCAAGTAATGTTCTTAATATGTCATCTTTAACTCCTTTCTTACGCTTGTATTTGTTTATTCTCTTTTCTCTAGTTGATAAACTGCCGCTGTTAGATCTGAGTCGTTCCGAAAATCGCTTTTAAAGATACATGTTTTTCTTGTCTCGTCTTCGTTCTTGCGTCTCCGTGCTAAAGCAAAAAGTCTTTCCCCTGTTCCAGCTGGATTTACTCAATATCAGAAGAGTTGAATAAGTACACATTTTTTCATCTTCTTGTCCCAGCTTGTTAAAGCCCGGAAGACTCAACAGTTTCCAGCAATAACCACCAACACCTAACTTTTGCATCTGTTTTGTTTCAGTTATTATGCATCAACAGCGTTTCCTATTGGTCCGACAAGATTAGCGCCTCCAATCAAACGACAGAGACTGATGGCAGCGTCCGCAAGAAATGGCAAAACCTGCCAGATACAAAAATCTACCTTAGTGCCACCGTTGGATCAGTTCAAAGTCTACAGTAAGTGGATTTTTGGTATTTGTTGAGCTTTTGGTGTGAACAGCAAAGCGAGTTCACCTTGGTGTGTGGATAAAAAAATAATTTATTTTGTTCGTTTCAAACCGACATTAATCACGGCTATAAATTAGATCAGAAATTGCGATTCGGTGTGAGAAAATTAAATAGTTTTCTCAAGCGAAATGCTCCCACATCGACCAAATAAATCAGCCGGGATTCGTTCAAAGTGTCTCGTTACGAAATTTTTCGATGTGAAACCGTTATTCAATAAACTTAATTTATCTGTTTTTCTTGCATTTGTTCCAATAAGAATCCAGAGCATTTCACGACTAGCTTACATTCAACTTATCTCAGCTGCTGGGAATTAAATTCTACAATTTGTATCGGTGTTTTTCGATGCAAAAATGCAGCAAATAACACGATTGCCATAAAATGTAGCGCTCAACACCTTCAAGGTTTTAAACTATAAAGCCGTAAATCTGACCGTAGCACTTTTTCCCAGCACAACTAAATTATAAAGTAGTTTTTGTGCGCGCAAAAACTGCATAATAAATTTAGGTAATAAAGGCTAAAAACACAATAATTAAACCAACAAAATAAACTCGGGAATACCAGCCGGGTTAGCGGCAGATTTATGCGGAAAAGAAATTGTGAAAATGGGGCTGTTCACACGGACCACATTAATGAAAACCGGCTCAGCTTTATAGCGTTTTGGAAAATACGTCCGACTTGACATATTCTCGTATTTTTATTACTCTTCTTAGTTTTTTTCGGAGTTGTCGCGTAAAATATGCGCTTCAAGGTGGTTGAATGAAATTGCAAATCGGGAAAAAATTAGCTGAACGTTGCCTGATGTGGAAATGTTCGGGGATTGCATGTGAAAAAAATGTATAAACATGGAAAATATACAGTAGACATCCATTAATGTTAGGAAGTTGTAAATCTGGGAAGGCTGACGTGCATAATGCGAATTCATTTACTTTTAGGAGCAGAATTTGAAAACTTGCCAAAAGCAGGTTTGGTGTTGGATTGCTATGAAATTTTCAGGACGTGGAAGTTTAAGCGTCTTCTATAACTGGCCAAATTATCATGGGTCTGCTACTTCCAGTTTGCAAGTGACAATTTTCGGATGCCAGAAGTGCAAATTGCGAATTAACCTGGTTTCAGGGGCAGATTTTGACAATTTTTCAAAAATCGATTTGTCGCTTGTTCCGAATTATATTTTTAGAACTTGGAGCTCTAAGCGTCTTCTATAAATGTCCAAGATTTTATTTGTCTGGTTCTTTCAGTTTTGAAGCGAGAGTTTTAGGAAAACAGACGTGCAAATTGCGATTTAATCCAGTTTCAAGAGCAGATTTTGAAAAATTTTCAAAAAACAATTTGTCGCTTGTTTCGAATTATATTTTTAGAACTTGGAGCTCTAAGCGTCTTCTATAAATGTCCAAGATTTTATTTGTCTGGTTCTTTCAGTTTTGACACGAGAGTTTTCGGAAAACAGACGTGCAAATTGTGATTTAATCCAGTTTCAGGAGCAGATTTCGAAAATTTTCCAAAAATCAATTTCGCGTTGGTTTTCATTGGTATTTTCAGAAAGTGGGGGTTTTGGCGTCTTCTCTAAGTGGCCAAATTTGTATCTGTCTGGTTCTCTCAGCTTCGAAGTGAGAATTTCTGGAAGACTAACGGGCAAATTGCGAGTTAATTCAGGAGCAGATTTTGAAAATTTTCCAAAAATCAATACGTAAGACAAATTTTTAAAAGTTTACTTCTATCAATTGTGAAGTGAGAGTTTTAGGAAAACAGACGGGAAAATTGCAAGTTAATCTAGTTTCAGGAGCAGATTTAGACATTTTGTCAAAAATCAATTTCGCGTTCGTTTTCATTGATAATTTCACAACGTGGGGGTTTTAGCGTCTTCTATAAGTGACCAAATTTTTATCTGTCTGGTTCTCTCAGTTTTGAAGTGAGAATTTTCGGAAGACAGACGGGCAAATTCCGAGTTAATCTAGTTTCAGGAGCAAATTTTGAAAATTTTTCAAAAATTAATTCCGCGTTGGTTTCGAATGATATTTCCACAACATGTAGGTTTAAACGTATTCTAAAATTAGACAACATTTTTAGATGTTTACTTCTTCCAATTGTGAAGTGAGAATTTTAGGAAAACAGACGAGCAAAAAGCGGTTTAATGTAGTTTCAGGAGCAGATTTTGAAAATTTTTCAAAAATCAATTTTGCGTTGGTTTCGATTCATATTTTCATAGCCTGGGAATTGTAGCGTCTTCTATAAGTGACCAAATTTTTATATGTTTGGTTCTCTCAGTTTGGAAGTGAGAATTTTCGGAAGACAGACGAGCAAATTGCGAGTTATTCTAGTTTCAGAAGCAGATTTCGAAAAATTTACAAAAATTAATTTCTCGTTGGTTTCGAATTATATTTTCACAAGATTGAGGTTCAAGCGTCTTCTAAAACTAGACAAATTTTTAAATGTTTGCTTCTTTTAGTTTAGAAGTGGAAATTTTTGGAAGACAGACGGGCAAATTGCGAGTTATTCTAGTTTCAGGAGCAGATTTTGAAAATTTTCCTAAAATCAAATTCCCGTTGGTTTTCATTGATATTTTCAGAACGTGGGAGTTTTAGCGTCTTCTTTAAGTGGTCAAATTTTTATCTGTCTGGTTCTCTCAGTGTGGAAGTGAAAATTTTCTGAAGACAGACGGGCAATTGCGAGTTAATCTAGTTTCAAGAGCAGATTTTGAAAATTTTCCAAAAATCAATTTCGCGTTGGTTTCGAATGATATTTTCACAAATGTAGATTTAAGCGTCTTCTAAAACTAGACAAATTTTTTGATGTTTGCCTCTTTTAGTCTGGAAGTGGGAATTTTCGCAACACCGAGGTGCAAGATTTGCAAGGAGCACTTAGTCCGTTTATGGGATTTGAATGAATTTTTCTGGATTTTTAAGGTTTTAGTGGTTTCTTTAAGTGGGTAAAATATCAAGTTGTGACTTGGTGAAGTTTGAAATTTTGATAATTTTCAATGTTAGAAGTGAACATTTTGAGAAGCAAACGGCTTGCTTCTTGGGGCGGAATTTCAAAATTTTCTAAAGATCAGGATTGCTATCGCGTGAACCGAAACTTTCAATATTCGCAGAACTACGTGTCGTCTACAATCTGCAATGCTTTCATGGCGTTTAGAAGTGAGAAATTTGCGAAAAGCAATCGGTTCAGTTGTAGGATCAAATTTTTAAATTTGCCAAATAGAGTTTTGAGTACAATATTTTCGTTGTTAAGGTGAAGCAAATTACACATAAACTGTATCGAAGTAGCAAAATTGGGCAAATTTTAAGTGCCGCTTCCACTAAGAATTAATGATCTCCTGACTATGTGAAAGCTTGTCGACGAGCAAAGTCCGTCTGCATAAATCGAGCCATAAGCAAATGTTCTTGCTGTTTCATGCAAAAATTCGCGACAGTAAAAGTAATTTATTCACAATTGCCGCTTTCTTCAGTAAATATTAAATGGAAGAATCTTTGAGCGCAAAGTTCCAGACGGTCTCACTTAACATCTTCAGCAAAGAAAAAAGATTAATTAAATTCGAAATATGTTTAAAATCCCGAACTTGACAGTTTTGTCGGCAACATTCCATCGTTTCAATCAAATGTTTTTGTATTTTTTGCAGGCAATCAAGACATCCTAATATGCGGAAATTGCCGCGAAATGTTCTCCGACCTCCACGACTTGTTGGAACACAAGAAAAACTACTGCAAACTTAGATTCACCTGCAAATGCGAAAGCAGTAAAACGCGTAAGTATTTCCACTGAAACTGTTTAGTGACAAACGAATTTCACTCTCAGCTTCTGTAGATTCAGCAACGTGCCAATTTCAGTTTAAATATCGCCTTAGCAAGTTGGAAACTTGATGGTCACAGCATTTTAAACCAGTTCGTGGCCGAATGCAGTGCGACTATTAGAAGATTAAAGAGCAGTAATTCATAGAAGACTCAGGTGGCATAGAATAAGCCAGCATTACTATTCGGCTACGTTCCAGAGTTATGTGGTCGGAAAATATACAGGAGGGAGAATGAAATTTATCAATGAACAAATGCAGTGTTTGGTTCTGTTGAAGGGAATTTTGAGCGCTTTATTGATTTTTTCGGTCGTGAATGTGAAATCTTCGGTGTATAGACTAATTTATTTTAAGAATCTGTCTTCCAGTTTTAGTATGTTTTGGCAATAGCGCGCAGCATTTAAGGCAGGAACATGCTGTCCATGAGCGCTTTTGCGTTTTTGCGCGGCGTCGCATTTCAACGGCTTCGTCTTTATTCAGCTCTTTTGCAAAACTCCAATTTAACCGCATGTGTCCGCAAAAAAACCTTTCTTCACCTGCATACAGGGCGCAAACATTATGACTACCGCAACATTTTATCGCCATTCTTAAGATCCAACACTTCGTGTTTGCAGGGTCTTCAATAGATGAACATTCAACAGCAGCACTCTTATGCGTGCAGTGCAAGGATGCGTTCCAGAATGCTTGGGATCTGATGGTTCATGCCCAGGCAGCCCACATGATCAACATCTATGAGCTGGGAGTGCCCACAATTGGCAACTGCTCATCTCCCCCCATATCGCCTAGGGATAACAACACGCCAGACAAGGTAAGTGAAAGTTCAGTCAGTTTTTATTGATTATATTATATTCGTATGCATTTGAAAAAAATTGAGATTGATAAAGCCGATTTAGAGCAGCCCCTTGTGTAGAATTTTTCTCCGGTGTATTTGCTTGTGTGGCACATCGGGAGTTGTCCATTTGAAGTCCTCAAACTTCTTTGCCCACTTCAGTTGGTCTTGCTTTTTGATTTTTTTGCTTCTCTGCTCAAATGCGGCCTCGTACAGCTCGTTCAGGTTCCTCTTGCTTCCCGTCTTGCTGCTTGTGGTTTGTTGGCTGCCGCCTTCCGATTCCAGCAACGATTTTGCGGAGCCTTGAAGCTCCAGCTGCCTGTTCATGTGTCGTTTGTTCAGCAAACGTGCCCGTTTCTCCTCGTATTTCTTCCTCAGTTCTTCATAAGTTTTTGCGTGAATGGGGGCGGGGGCACTTGCAGGCACGTAGCTTATGGACTGGTTGTTCACAGCTTCGAGTTGCTTGGATTTGATTTCCTGCAGCTTTTGGGTGAAACTGTACTGGCTGGGCAAGACAACGGCAAAGTTTCCCACTGAAACATCTTTGGAGCTGAGGTTTCTCGATGTCTTGAAGCTCTGGCAGACTTCGTTCAGGACCTTTTGCCTTTCGTCCCGCAGCTTTCTTAGCCTGCGCAGGTAAACCTCCCGGTCTGACTTGAGGCGTTGCAGGAACTTCTCTCTGGTGAAGTCGATCTTCTGCTTGCGGCTCAAGCCTTCTTCCTCTTGTTCCTTGATCTGAGAGATCTCCTGGCTGAACTTGGATTTGATTTGCTGGATTTTCTGGCGGTGATTTTGCCCCAGTGCCGACCATCTGCTATCGAGCTCCTCGAACCTTTTTTCGCACTCACTTTTTCCGTTTTCGTCTGCAGGCGCGGGCGAGGGAGTTTTCTGCTTCGCAGACTCGGCTTTGGACAATTTGGCTTTCGAAAGCTTCTTGGATTTGATGGGTTTCTTCTTTGGCAAGAGCTTGCGAACTTTTTTCACTTCAGCCGGGTGCTCTGGTTCTTCTTCATCTCTGGTTCGCTTGGAGAACTCGCTAATCAGCTTAATGAGGCAAACGTCCTGGATCAAGGTGGCAACAAACATCTGCAAACTGGAGTTTTTCAGCAGCGCTTTTGCAGTGTCGTACAAAGATCTGGAATTGTTCGCCACTGTTTCTTCGCTGCTTTGAAACGTCGCTGGATCTGGAAACGCTTCGTCTGGATAAGGGCCGATGACTTGGATCTTCAGCGAGTTATTGAAGTGGTCTGTTGCCTCACAAGTTGGGTCTTCGTAGTCGAAGTCGTTGTCATTAACTCCTCTTAGAAAGTCCAGAGAATTGGCGACTTCCATCGCTTTGATGGTGGCCCGGATGCTACCAGAAGCATTTGCTGGGGTTGGGTGATCAGCGTGATCGTATACCTGGGCCAGACTATGCTGCAGCTGATCCAAAGTGGGCGATTCAGTGAAAGGGGGCGGGAAAAGGGTCGTGAGCAACGTAATTCCAGTTATAGTGAACAGACAGGCGATGATTGATAGCAAATTCGTATAATCACAGCGGGGTTTCTTGGACGTTTTTTTGGTCTTCCGCTGTTTTTTTCCTGAGTCAGGTCTGGGGCACTTTTTACCCGAATGCGCAGCTTCAATGTCCTCGTTGAGCAACTCCTTGGTGACTTTCTCATTTCTCACACTCTCAAAGGAGTTTGTTCTGGATGGTGAGTCTGGACCGTGCAGGATGGTCCAGGATGAGTTCGAACTGAGGTCGGAATCGCTTTTATTCAGCTGCATGTTTATGGTTGTTCTACACGGGAATTTAACGGGATTTACTTGGGATTTTGATCTGGATTGATGGATGACACCAAATTGTTGCGATGACAAATGGAAAGTGTGAAAGTGGAGGTGCGTAACAGCAGGTTTGGTCAGGTGGTTAAACAGATTTTCAAACCCAACTGGATTAGTTATGAAAGTTTGTGATAAATGTTAGTGACTTTTCGAATTTTTTGTGTTTTTAGCACTTTTAACACTTGAAAGAGTGAGTAGGAAATACGGTAATTATCTAGGTTATTAAGCCCTCCCGTCGGCAATATGCTCACCTTATAGATGATTTACTTACTAGCGACTTTTAGGGTGTTTCTTGTGGAACTACGGTTTTTGAGCAGATTTCGCTCATTGAAATTCACCACCATAAGACCGCAATCTACGCAGTCTGTCGCAAGTTCGAAGAAAATCGCGCATTTGCCAAATCTATACTTTGTACTTGCATTGTTTATTTGGGTTACATTTGGTGAATATCCTCAAGTTTTATTGCTTTTGGTTAGACCTTTATTTTTTTCTTTTTGATAGTATTGAACCGCAAAATTCATCAAAACGGGAATTGACGAATTGAGATTTGCTACTTTGATCGAAGTTTGGCAACTTGTTATAAAACATTGATTTTTGCTCGTGCAGTGTGAATTGTAATGAGTGAAAATTCATCGAAAACCGCAATTTCACATGAAACGACACTAAGAAAAGCTGATCGCAATATGATTTTCTATTTAATGCAAAAAATATTGATAATTGCCGAAAATTCAAGATATTTGAATGTTTATTTTAAGCACAATGCATCTAAATTGCATAAATTAAAAGTTCGCGATTTTTAACAGAAGAAAACCATAAAAAAAATTCTTAAAATGCAGATATAAATATTGTATTAAAAATAAAAAAATGCTAAAATTGTCACATTCACAAAGTCAAATTGCTGTATCGGCAATTTCTGTTATAAATAGTTATTAAATCGAGCTTTTTCCAGTTTTTTAAACTTTTCACTAAATTCGTGCTTTTATGTAACTAAAACTACGCGCATGTTTAGATTGAATGATAGTGACATTAGAGGCGAATTTACAACTGCCGAGTGGAGAATGCCATTTAATTAAATGTTACCAACTGTAGAAAACGACATAATTGGTGGGGCTTTTGCTGGGAAACTGCAGTTTTTTCTGTTTTCTCTGTGTTTGCAATGTTGTGCTGATACTCTAGTGTTTTCGGTCAGTGTCAGTTAATTTTGTTAAACTGATTTAGATGAAATCGCTGTTTTCGTTAGAATTCATAAAAAGTCGGGCTATTTTGGGTTCTTCAAGCTTATTTTTCATCAAAACTGGCACTTAATTAATGTTAATCAACCAATTTGTCTGTTTCTGCTTTAGTTTGCTTATAGTGAGTTACAATGACATTATATGCAAATTTACACTGTCCAAATGTCACCAACCGTAGAAAATTAAATAATTTAGTAAGTTTTGCTTTATAACTGCTGGTTTTTATCTTTTACATTTTTCCTGTTCCATTGGGTTTCTACACTCAAAATAGTTAATTAACTCAGATAATTTTTTAAATTGGCAATTCTTGCGTTCGTTGGTCATTATCATTTAATTTGTTAGTTTTGTTGTCTAAAATTGCCGGCATTCACTAAAAAGTGTCTTGTCTTGACTAAAAGTTATTTGCAATGACTGCGAGAGAGACAACTACAGAAGAACAGAACTAATGTGGGATTGTTGTTAGATAATTATTAATTAATATTGACAAAGGAGAACTCAATTGCTGCAAGACGTTTTTTATTCAGTGGAGGATTTCGACAGGCGAGACCAATTTCAAACTTAAATAATTATGTATATTTTTATAGCGAGCACATTCAAAGCGAAAACCGAGGCTGCAAACAGACTTTCTCATTAAAGACACCTACAATTTTTTTTGCATATGTAGGTAGCGTTATAAGCCTGCTGCTCGCATTGGAAACACCCTGTAAATGCACAGGAATTAATAAAAATTTAATTCATCGATGAATCGGTTACGTGTGTTAGACAGTGATTTTTCTGCATACTATTCATTAATTTAGCTTACTGGCATGAATGTTTCCGCACAGCTTTGCCCGTAGCGGATCCTAGACGAATTGAATATCTTACAAACAGGAAAACCTTTTTCCGTTCCTTGAAAACACGGATAGATTTAAAGGCGGTCAATGGAAAAACGAGAGCTTGCTGATCCATTGAAAACCGGCATAAAAGACTCTTTTAACCGGTTGCCGTTCCTTTTAAAGTCAGCGTGAGCGCACGTAAGTTTAAAAAATGAAATAGACAACCGTTGGAACGTTACAATTATGTAATGGATGTTGCAACTGGCGCGCGATCGATTAGGCAACTGATTTGGAAAAAATGCTTATTTACAAGCTTTATGTGAATGTATGTGCGCTTACAAAATCCCACAAAATTATTCCCACCCAAGCCGGAAAGATCGCTTAACTTCGTTTTTTTGTTGATCTCGCGGGATAAACAGGTTGATGGGAACAAACAAATAATAAGGGTAATCCGCAATACAAGGGAGAATTTATTTGACTTCCTGCGCTCTCTGGTTTATTGCGTTTTCATCGCCTTAAAACCTCGCAAGGAAGATTTAAAGTGGAGCCTGGAAAAACAGGTAATTTTGTTTTTCGGCTTTCACTCGCTTCAACATTGGACATTTCGTTGACGAATCGGGTTCACGTGGGAAAGGTGTCATTGATTTCTGAAAAATGCCGATTTTTTAAAGATGGTTTATATTAATGGTGTGTCGGTGTGCCCCTTTCGGCAACCGATACTAATTTTTCCTGGTGTTTATCCGCCAAGCTGCTTCCTGCTTGCTGGCTTTTTTAAGCCGTAAACCGATGTAAACGTGAGGCTTTTTCAATTGCTTATTTTCGTCTTCGGGGGAAGTTTTTTTAGAAGAATGAAGGCCAAAATCCAGATCATTACTGGTCAAACTGCGTTTCTTTTCAACTAAGCGCGCTAAGAAAACTATAATGATGACAGACTGCGGTGTATCTTCTTTAAACTTTATCAGAAGTTAAGCTACTTAAGCGAAGTCCGAGGAACAGATTGGGTGACCGAAAAAGATTGATAGTTCCACTAGTTCGGGAGTTTTAAAACTTGATTCTCCTCCTCCGGCTTTTCCCTTCTTTCGAACTCGATAATTGGACCCTTATTAGGGGT